ACTACCAAAATTAGATTGGGACGCACACGAGCACAAGGACGACGAAAACAGAAAAGCGGGTGCCGAGCCTGCTGCTGAGATGCTGGAGGGAGTTTACTATTGGAGACATGTGGCCTCCGGACAGAACTTTGTAGCCACATAAAGTAGAAGTTAATCTTTCGTGGAAAGTGGCAAGATTCATCCCTGCTAGCTGTACATATGTATACAGTTTGAAGTGCATGTGTCTGAAGAGAGTGGCCATGTCTGGAGAGAGGGCTGCACTACAAATTTAGTGAAATAACAGTATCCTTTCTTTTTTTTCTTTTTTTAACAGGATCCTAATTGTACACAATGCAGATGTCCTATTTAGAAACTTATGTTACCCAGAAAAATAAACTGAACAACTTTTGCCTCAGGGTCACATCGACACAGATGGGTGGAGTAGTTTAATACCCTGAATCGCCAGGAGGAGGGTGGGTTTGCGGGGTCTTCGACCCCTGCCACGCGGGTGGTGGGGTATCACTGCTGGTTTGTGAAGATATTGGGTTTGGTTACATATTCGGGTCGAGCAATCGTGGGTTTGGTTTCCATCTTTTTGTGACAGGATTTGGTTTCTGTAGTTATCTGAGTCCTTTTTCGCCGTTCGGGTAACTGTTACAGTTGTCGTAATTTGTTGCGATTCTTGTGTAGCGTTTTGCATGCGATGGAATGAAAGAGAGAGTGCCGCTCTGTAGAAATGCCATTATGGTGGGCAGTGGGGTTTCCTTGTGAGAAGGTGCAGATTAGTGGAAGTGGTTTTCCCTAAATCGCAAGGAGGCGGGTAGGTTCACGGGGTCTTTGACCCCTGCTGCGCGGGAGGTAGGGTATTACCGCTGAGAGGTTGAATTTGGGTCAGATATTCATTTCATCTTAATAGGCTGCTGTTTGCTGTCATCTGAATTCTTAAGGAGAAGTGGTGAGCATTGCTCCACAGGGGCTCTGTCATGGAGGGAGGCGAAGCATCCGTGGGGGGTGTATGCAGATTGAGGGAGAGGCTTACCCTAAATCGCGAGGAGGTGGGTGGGTTTTGCGGGGCTTTTTAGCCCCTGCCGCGCTGGAGGTAGGGTAATCCCCTGGTTAGTGAAAACAACATAGTGGTGGGAGTTGTTGTTTTTGTAAAGAGGAGTGTGGGGAGGTGCTATCCGCTTTGAATTGTGAGGAGGTGGGTGGGTTTGCGGGGTCTCTGTCAGAGGTTTGGGGCCTGTGGGCACAGACCCCT